TTCAATTCGTCTTTTCCGGGGCTCAACAGAATCAAAGTGTATTTTAGGTTTGAACGCTTTTAAGCATATGCGAATTTATTTGAAATGCGTTGTATTACAAATTGCTTTGAAAATAAATAAAAATGTGTTTTGTTAATCGTTTAAAATCCTGAGAAATTCTATCATATGAAAGAAGTGTGCAAATCAAATTCCTCCGAGCCCCCCCCCCCTTTCCCCCGCGATGAAAAAAAAAATAAACTCAAACAAATTATTTATTTCTTAAAATGATATTTTTCTTTCAATATTGTTGCAGTTCTTTATGTGTGTTATTCAAACAGCTTGCTTGATACATATATTCATGTACTTGCCGGATTTGTGTACATGGATTGCGTGATACATGCATGTACGTTCTTAAAACTACTGGTTCTTGGTTTCCGATATCCTCATAATTTTGTCTATCAAACAAATAAATTCGCAATATTAATAAAAAATACAAAAACTTCATTCTGTAATCATATTTAATTCTCTCTGCATATTTTCATTTATTAATTTGGGTTCTAAAATCGTTTTGATTGCTATCGCCATGTGTAAAGTTCCCTACATCGATCAGAGAATGCACCCTCACCGCACTGCTCCATGTACTCAGACAATATAGAGATACATTGTAGATCGCAATGCATGCATATATTTTTCAATCGTACATTATTTTCTTTCAAAATCTAAAGAATTTCGTGCATTATGTACAGTATAATACTTAATTTTATCATAAAGATCTAAATCAGCATTGAATATTATACAGCTGTTTAACATAACCCACACATATTTCCCCTTACTACGTCATTGGTCGAAATTACCCCGCGTCCTTAAAACAGTAGGGGTAATTTCGACCAAATTCAAACGGACGTTTCTTGTGCTTTTTGAGAAAAATCAATGATAAAAATGTGAAATTCAGCTACTTATTACACTCCAAGAAAATAATAAAATAATTTCAATTTAATTCGAACGGTTACAAGGTTGAACATTGTCCAACTCAAAAAGAGGTCGTACGAGTTATCTCTCTTGTTTTTCGTTGATCACATCAAGCGCCCTGAAGACGGACTTCCGAGTGTCAAACTGGAGGGATAAAAAATAGTGAAACATGTAGTTAAACATCTGATCAAATCATTTTCGCGATGAGCAATTATACTAGGAAATCCAATTTTAGGAATAGTTTACTTTAAAACATAATTAAAGAAACTTGTCTCAACAATGCTGTAAATCATGATGCAGTGTTGTGTTTGTGTGGTCGAAATTGAACATTGATCGAAATTACCCCGACTTACCCTAGTAGGTAGGAAAAAGAGGTCTCAAATTAAGAGGTCCTTGGGCCTCATTGCCCACCTGAGCACTGTGGCTAGGAAAAAAGCAAAACTCAGTTCAACATTGAAAAGCTTAAGTGGTTCAAAGTTACCCCTAAAAGGGGAAGGAATGTGATTTATTCAATTTCGGATCCAAACTGCTTAAGGATGCTTACATATTTCTGTGACTAACTTTGGCTGTTTTCCTATCAGTGTGAACTTTCAACATGGTCCCACATTTACTCCGGGGGTCAAGATTTGATTGAACAATTCTGAATCTACACTACCTGAGGATGCTTCCATATAACTATCACCAATCATGGGTTTGTTGTTCTTGAGAAAATTGAATAGATTTTTCCTATATATTATACATGTATCTATATAAAACGTTGATCCCCTATTGTGACTCCGCCCTATCCCCCCGGGTCATGGCTTGAACAAACTTAATTCTACAATACTTGAGGATGCTTCCATTTAAATATGATTAATCATGACTTTGCTGTTTTTGAGAAGATTCTTTATAAGATTTTTCCTACGTATTCTTAAGTTTAACTTCGATCCGCCATTGTGGCCTCACCCTACACATTGGGATCGTGATTTGAACAAATTTGAATCTACATTACCTGTTGCCACATAAGTTTAGCCAGCACCAGGTGACCTACTGTGACACGGGACCTCGGTTTATATGGACTCATCCGATGGACCGGTCTCCACGTCTCACAGTGGGATACGAACCCACTACGTAAGATTCAACTCCTTACCTTGCAATTCTAGAGCAGACGCTCTAACCACTGCGCCACGCGGGCGACTAGAAAAATTGAAATAAAAACGTCTATCATAAAGTTTTGTTGTAAGGATATCAAAACAAACCCAGACTCTTTATCTAGTAAACCAAATATGAAACACCTGCGTCAGACTAAAAAGATTCTTGAGTTTGAGATCAACAATATCTATGTGATTTTTTGAGACCAGGTCCCAAGACCATAAACTGAGAACTGAATATGTCAAAATTTAAAACCAGTATAACGTTTCAAGTTATTTTGATAATGAAATACAATTTAAATCAAATATTCAAATTTATGTTATCAGAGAATTGCAAATTTTTAATCATATATGTCAAGCAAAACTCAAGAAATTGAAAATCAAAATTTTGACGAGTGTGTTCTCAGTTTCTGATCTCCATGCCAGATGTTTCAACAATCTATTGGAATTCCCATGGGTACCCGTTATTAAGAGACCTATTTTTTATTCATATGAAGCAGAATTTGTCCAAATTGTTATACGCGAAAAGAAGAAAAACTCTTGTTGATCGAAGCACCTGACCCCAACTTTAATGTTTTGGAGGTCCGTGTTTGCTCTGTTCCTATTTTGTATTGTTTTATGGACTTTTGAGCTTAAATACTTTTCTTTATTTCCATCTATATATAGATATTTCATTTATGGTATTTTTCCCAAGTTCACTGTGATCTATAGAGTCGACATTTGAATACAAGTAACTACTGTTATTTAATAATACTTCGTCAGTACTTCTAAATGTCGACATGATGATCATAACAAGTGTTTTCCTTTTAAGTTAAAATTTTTAGATAAATTCTGTTCATTTGAATACAAAAGTAGGTCAGCTAGTGATTGATTAATACCAATGGGAATATAGAGATTTTGTCAATCTGCTGCCATTTTCACAAAAAACTTACAAATTGGACATCATTTTTACTATTGTTTAATTTCTTTATATGATATCATTTAAGTATTTTATTCACTTTGTAATATTATGTAGTATAATATAAAACTTTTGATAACCTACTTTAACTTGGAAACTTTTTAAACAATTGGAAAATTTGAATTGTCCTTCTCATAGGAATTTGTTTGAAAAGGTCCTCAGAAACTCAAGCATCTTTTAAATACTGAGCAAAATCAGGATATTTTTAAGCAAAATAATTCTGCAAATGACGAATGACAAGGTGTGAAAATATACGAGTTATTGAAAAAAACCGGGAAATTCAAAGAACTCCGTTTTTCATAGAAAAAAATGATGGTGCTTTAAACTCAAAATTCCCTCAAGGTGAAAACAGATATATATAAAACCTTAATGTATATCTTTATAAAACACCAAATATATACCAAAAGAGAAGTTGGTAACTGGAAAAGTTGTGAGAGGAGATCCAAGAATCAAATTCTGTGGGGAAAAACTAGATGCACTAGATGAACATCTTTTTTGCACATATTTGTAGCATATGTGTATTTATGTATATAAAGGAATTTATGGGATCTAAATGCTCAAAGTTTTTGTATTTTGATTTACTAATAATGTGTATGAATGTTTGGGTCTTGAGGGGTTTTTCCGGGTTATAGTTTCCAAGCGCCCTCTATTTACGGCTATTAGCCTAACCCATATTCATAATTCCGCTTGGCTACAAAAAACGTGGTTTGAAAATAACCCCACCTTCTGCTACATTCTGAAATTGTAAAATTTTTCATTTTATTTGGCATTTGTAATGTAATAAATGCTCTATTCACAAACACTCGCTTTAGCATTTTAATGGCTGCAGAACAGAGCTGCAAATGTGCTTCAGGTACATGTACATACGAACTGAGTTGTTCATTATTGCCCGCATTTAAGAGCACATAATCTAAATAAAGATAAACTGGCTACAACTTAAATATTATAGTGTTTAAGAAAGAAAAAAGTGTGGCAGTTGGATCGACGTACGGACCAGGATAGTAACAATATATCAGAACTATTTTTCTTTAGAAAGTGCAGGTATAAAAATATTCGTCAAATATGGATTAGGGCACTCATACTGAAAAGATTACTGTTATCAAACAGGTAATGATTTTATGGAGGTCTCTGGATATGATTTAATTTTGTCATAGCAGGCTTGCAATTTATTTTATTTGTAAGATCTGTAGATACACGTTCCGGGTTCCTTTGACCTTGGACAGACATCATCTTAAGCACAATCAAACGGAAACAAATTCTATGAAGAATTGATCGAAGTTAGGCCCATAATAATCTAAAGATGAATTTGGTCTCAAAATACATAATTCACTTCAAAAGTTTTGTGTATGGTTTCGCAAAACGTTTTTCTGCTACCATTAAAAAATATTTTGCGGCCGCCAGAAAATAATTTGGAAGCATCTATATAGATGTTCTCTTCTCACCCGACACATACTGGGTACCGTACAAAAAAAGTAAATATAAGCCAGGAAAAACATAAGAATTTTCTATAAGAGTGATTGTTTTTTTAATTCGAAATGCTTTTACTAATTATGCTTGTCATAAAGTAATGCACTATATGTATACATTACGGATGTAGGTAAGAATTTTTAAAAATAAAATCCGAGTGCAAATTTTCCTTATTTAGAGTTATCATGCGGAACGATTTGATGAAAATTCCTTGTTTAAGGAAATCAGATGAATACTAGTATATGTACTTCATTTTGATGAGAAATGTTATATTTCTAATTTGAACCATTCACATTGATTATTTACAGTGTAACTTATTTCCATCTTTAGATTTTCAATTTAATACGTTCAGAAAGTGAATGTAACGATATGTTCACATTGTGCTTCCTTTTCCTCCTGATCCTCAAAGATAAGTACTATCTTGACTTTATATTTTGTTTTGTTCATTAAAAAATTATTAATTTGATTATATGATCATTTATATTTATATATAAGCCTGTTCATCTCTTTAGGTATCAGCTCAATGACGGTGATAACAAACCCAGAGCTTAATGTGACACTAGGTTCAAATGCACCAATTGTTTTGAATTGTACATACCCAACAGATATTTCGGTGAGAACAATAAAATGGAAAAAGTTATTTCATGACGGATACAAGGACTTGGTAGTATTTGATCCTGGAAATCGTGATGCGTTTTTCGCCCGTGATGGGGTTTACTTAAGTAATAGATCTTATCTTATTTATCCTTATAATGGTTCAACAAGTGCTGTTCTGATAATCAATGACGTCATGTGTGAGGATGAGGGACTGTACCAATGTCTTGTGGACTACAAAGATGGAGGTATCATCAAACAAACTAGAAATGAAACAACCGTCTTTTTACAAGGTGAAGTTTTTACTTATAAGTATCCATTAATAAAAAGAAAATTATAGTAATCATCAGCCAGTCTAGATCTTTGTCTCTGTGACACTAGCTTTTATTGTTCTATTTTACTGCTATCAAAATAGATACTAGTAGATAAATATTAAGAAATTTATTATTATAGGATAATAGTGATATAGACAATATGTAGATGCAATGGGTGACAAGCATTGAAAAAAATGTTGAAATTATTATAGCCGAATCAAAAAAAATCATCCAAAAACATCGTTAAACATTTCTAGATTCATATATTCGAAAAGTGAGCAACTTTCATTCATAAAAATTTTAAAAGTAATTCAGTTTCATGCTTTTGTTTGAAATCCTTCATACCTATATAAGTATAACAATGTCATTGTTTTATACAAAAACACAATTTTGAACTTTGCTTTGAAGCTTCAAAACCTTTTTTAACCTTTCTTAAGGGACTCCGATCCTCAGCCAGGAAGGACAAATCTTAAATTTGTATTTTAACTAGAGCCGAGCTCGTTGCAAAGCAACGAGTAGGTCTTCCGTCATGTTTGACCGGAAGTTACTTTCATTTGAAAAAAAAAAATAATGAAGTCGAAAAATGGCTTAATCCTCGCAATCTATGTTCATTTTTGCAAAATCAAGCCATTTTTGGCAACTTCCGGTTTGACCGGAAGTACCGTCAACGGACGGAAAATTAAGATTTAAGCTTCCAGTGACATATGATATCCAAAAACCTGTCAAGAACAACAAAAATATGCAATTTTTGACTACTTCCGGTTTGACCGGAAGTGACGTCCCCGGACGTATTTTGACAACCTCATTAGATAAAGCTTGACATTTTGAACAACTTTGCTTATTTGATGTATTATAAATTCTCAATACTTTTTGAGATATTAAACAAAATCTTTCAAGGACCCTAGATCCCTAATTTTAGGGGCCAGCCCCTTTTTAATGATTTCAAATGAAAACGCTTGTAATTATGCACAACTTTCATTCAACATGTTTTAACAAAATATTTTTAGTTTTCAAGATAAAAAGGAAAATATCTGTAAATTTTCGCTATTTTAGGTGTTCTAATTTTTGACCCCTATATAGCGCCATTTTGAATGCAGAAATCGAAAAACAAAAACCGATGTGCACAACTTCAATCCTTCTGTTATCTAAAACAAGTAAAACTTCTGCTCCAGCTTTTGTGGTCTCTGAGCCTTTATCCGGAAACGAAAGCCTATGATTTTTCGTTTAAAGGGGCATAACTCAAAACCGGAAGTGACTTTTTGAAATTTTAGTCATTATTCTGATAGAATTTATAAACGTCTATAACCTCTGAAAATTTGAGCGAAATCCGTTGAGAAATGAGTGAGATATGAGGCATCAAAGTTGGCGTCTAGGAAGTAGAAGAAAAAAAAAAAGAATAATAATCTTTACCAACAGAATCAGTAGAAGGTCTTCCGTTGGAAACGGAAGACCTTAATTAAAAAAAGTCAAAAGGTCTCAAATTATTTTTTTTCTTCATGCAACAATTTACAATATATATCTCTCAATGTGCTTCAAGGTTCTTAGAACTTCTCAGAAAAGTCTAATAAAAAGTCAAAATTTTTACCCTTTAATAGCAATTTAAAATTACGTATATCAAGAAATGGATATTCTTTTTAATCTAACCATAGATACAATGTTTATTGACATGATATGAAATAAGAAGTGTTTTATTGTGCTTTGCAATGACAGGAGAATCTTTATACACTTTGCATGGTAAAATGATCGAACTAAATAAAAGAAATTAAAGTACGTACATTATATGTATAAAAATTGTAGAATTTCTTCAAAAGCCTGGATACTTATGATTTTTATTTTCAAAATGTGTTAATTGTTGAAATTTGAATTAGAAAATGCATAGCAGGTATTTTTATTTGCAAATCCTAAAAATATATATTTGAGATTTATTAATTTTTTCTATATAATATTATTAACTTGAAAGATGAAGTTTGAAGAATTATTGTGGGTAAAACATGTTACTTTGAATATTCAGAGACATTTTTGTGAGCATTTTTAATTAGTCAATGCTTGATTTTCAGAACCGGAGGATCGGAGTACCTTAAGGAGACAAGTAAAATAAAAACTCATACCTGTTGTCTAAGCCATTTTTCATCATAATAGATACTATTTAAATATGAAAAAATCAATGGGGTGATATGATCTAAATTATAATAATAGACATAACCAAAATAACCTTTCCGGTATGGTGTTTCTATTAACAAAATTCATAAGTATTGGGAGGATACATGAGTTTTAATTACTATTTGAGAAATATGCACTAGTATTACTTTTATCTTGATCAGCTAATGGTTGTGTAATGAATTTTTCTAAGAGTCCAATTAATGAGTGATAACTTATTATCTAAAAGTCGAGTCGACCGCGCGGCGCAGTGTTTAGAGTGCCTGCTCTAGAGTCACGAAGTAAGGAGTTGATCCTTTCGTCACGGGTTCGAATCCCACTGTGGGACGTGGAGACAGGTCCTTTGGATGAGACGGTATAAACCGAGGTTCAGTGTCCCAGTAGGTGCTGGCACGAAAAAGATCCCTCCCTGCTCAAAGGCCCTGAGTGCCGAGTATAGGACAAAAATTCGCAGCTTTCCGCCAGCAAGTGGTGTCGTCTCAATATGAGTGAAAAAGTCTCGTGAGGGGGGTTAAATAATATTTAATCAATCAAACTAAAAGTCGGCACCATGCAATAATCAATGAAAATCAAGTACAGAAAATATTCCTTTCCATACATCCTTCTTACATAATATTTTTTGAATACTATTCCAAAAACATATCACTATCTTCTGTAAGTGAAGGTCAACAATTTTAAATACGTAGTCGAAAAGGGCGAGTTAATAACTTTTGTCGCACAAGTGTTGCTTCAAAATATAATGCCTCACAAATATTTAAGCAACGAATCATAATATTCAAAAGAAATATATAGAGTCTCATAACTGCAGCTATAAGAGCAAACAAATTGAGTTACCGCGATGTGAAAATTAGTGTGTTAAAACATTTTTTTGCACACATTGTTGCAATTATGAGACCACCGGTATATCTTTCAAAAATACCGTAATAATACATTTCTTATATTTTCATTTTGTAATCCTCTGTCATGATTGCAACGGTAATTTATATTTCAAAACTTCGTGTAAGCTACGGTTAATGGTATAGGCAAAGTAACAGCTAATGGTCAATATGAGCGTGAGTTTTAAGGTCTTTCGTTTCCAACGGAAGACCTTATTGTTTTCGTTCGGTTTCTTTTTTCCTATTATTCTTTTTTTTTCTTACCGATTTTTGTGCACGCGAGTTCTCGGAAACGGCTCGCCCGATTTTCACGAAACTTTCAGATCTGATAGATATTGGTCTGAACCTTATTGGAAATTTTTATACGTACGACGTCACTTCTGGTTGTGAGATATGAACGATTTACTGATTTTCAGAGGGTCAGCTTGTCAGGGCAATCACTAAAAAACGAATGAAGATATTGACTTGAGATTTTCAGTGAAGGTAGAGGAAGGATTGCTGAATTGCTTTTTTGAGTCTATATCTTTCCAATACAAAAGGTCATGAAGCTCGTCTGAGATGAAAAATAGGCTCGGAGAACTCTCGCAAAATTTAACACGTTTTCTCTGATATCTTTATACCTGTCAATAATTTGTTAAGAGATATATTATAAAAGTCGTGCAAAATTATATTTTCTTTTATTTGATATGAAGAAAACGGGTGTTACCCCTCAAATGAAGGGCAAAGAGGGGTCAAAAGACTTTCACTTAAAAACTCTTTATTCATTAAATTTTTTACAATAAATAACTTAAGCAAAAATGTTTATCATAACAATCTACATCAATGCATTTGTAAAATGTGGATAATATGTTACGTAATTAGGGGCCCTAAGGGGCCAAAATGCTCAATCTTGGATTCTTTATATCTCTAAAAGGGGAAATATTTTGAAAGTGGTATCGAATAAAAGATGCTCAGAGTCTTCTTTCAAACATTATACAACCATTCTGTATGTGCAAAAATATCCCATTAAGGATATAAAGGGCTCGCCCCTAAATTTGGCTATCCTACATAGCTCGAAAAGAAATGTCTGGATAGTTGTTGAACAAAAAAATCATTAAATTAAAAAAAATTATTATTGGATAGGAAGAAAGGGTTTGACCCCTCAAATAAGGGGCCTTTAGGGGCCAAAAGACTTTCATCCATTACTAATTTTTAAAATACATGTAATTATAGAGAAAGTAAAAGAATTTATTCAAAGGAGAGAAGTCTTGATACCATTGTTACAACGTACTTTGAAAAATTACGCACTTTGAAAAAAATTTTTCAAAGTGCGTTAAATTTGGGACCAAGCTAACGCACTTTGAAAAAAAGACTAAATTTCTTTTCAAAGTGCGTTAATATCGACCATATTAACGCACTTTGAAAAAAAAGTAAAGATTGATCAATATTCTTACAAATAATCAGTATGATAAATAATTGACTCTGGTTGGATAACTTTTTGGTGATAGGTCACTTCAGAAGCTGAGATATTGACATTGTAAATATTTTAGGTTTTGATAAATATTATAAAAGGGAAATGTTTTTTTTAGACAAAATAGAGAGATGATTGTTTAAAACCATTATTTCGTTTCTTTTAAAAATTTCTAATCTGCAATAAGTAGATGTAAGGGGGGGGGGGGGGGTAAAAGTGAACGACTTAATGCATAGCATTTATCTTAAGAAAAAGGGACAAAAAGATTTTTCAGGCTATGAAAATTCTTTCTCTCTCATATGTTTTACTGTGCTTCAAACTTTCTAGTTTTCATCTGTTTTAAGTTAATTCAATTAATTATTGATAGTTTTTAACGTCATAACGGTAATGTATATACATATCCATTTTTTGGGTATAGCATACATGTAGGCATCGAAACCGGGCGAAGGGCAAGGGAAGAGGTTTTTTGGGCTTATAACTCCGATCCACCCGTTTTATTTGTTACCGACCCCTGTGTGTTGAAAGAGAGAGTTAGACTGAGATTTTCTACTTGTCTTCTCCTCTTCTCGACGGGAGTAAATCAATTTAAAAGTTTTTTGACAGATAAATTACACTGAAATAGAATCTTTCCATTACTAAAATCCAAATCCAGAATTAATTTTTGTTTTTACATTTTTTTTCAAAGTGCGTTAAGTGTCTCAATGGTAAAATATATCGATGTAAACTCTTAACGCACTTTGAAAAAAATTTTCAAAGTGCCTTGAGTATGTCCCAAATTTAACGCACTTTGAAAAAAATTTTCAAAGTGCGTGGATTTTGTCCCAATTTTAACGCACTTTGAAAAATTTTTTCAAAGTGCGTAATTTTTTCAAAGTGCGTTGCCACATACCATTATGATCTAACAAAGATCATAGTCAAAATCATATCTTATCAAAAAATCGGACGGAAGACCTACTCGTTGCTCCCAACGAGATCTCATAAAGTTTTTTTTTTATTTTTGCTTATGACGTTGCACTTTCTCGGCACTCAACAATTGTGACGTCAAAATAAAACATTATTTAACCCTTTGAACTCCTGTTCGTGTTATTTTTTTTATATAGAATACCTCACATTTTATATGAAAATACGCATGTTATGTAAAAATATGTTTCTTTGTGTGTTTCTTGAAATTATCGAGTGCCCAATAGAATCCGGAAGAATAAAAAACCTCGCAGTATTCAATATGAAGGAAAACAAGCAAATTCAGAGAACTGTGGGCCCCCGCTTTCGGTGTCTTTGTTTTTGATATGTCATTTTTATGGCATATTGTGTCAAATATGAACGTCCTTTCGCCTTTTATCTCATTCTGATCTTTTTTTTTTTTTTTTTTGATTTAGTCAATCGTGAAGGTTAAGGTCAAGGGGTCAGAAATCATAGCATTGTTACAACGCACTTTGAAAAATTACGCACTTTGAAAATTTTTTTCAAAGTGCGTTAAAATTTGGGACCAAACTAACGCACTTTGAAAAAAAATAATTTTTTTCAAAGTGCGTTAATATCGACCATATTAACGCACTTTGAAAAAAAATGTAAAGATTGATCAATATTCCTTCAAATAATCGGTATGATAAATAACAGATCCTGGTTTGATAACTTTTTTATGATAAAGTCACTGTAGGACGTGAGATATTGACGTTTTAAATATTTAAGGTTTTGATAAAATAAAAGGGAAAATTAAAGGGTCTTGAAAAAAAGAGTGACCATTGTTTAAGTTTATTAATTCGTTTCTCCTTTTTTTTAAATTCTAGTCTTTGATAAGTAGATGTAAAGGTGTATAGGGGGCACTAACAGAGGACAGCTTCAAGCAACTTAGCATTTATCATAATAAGAAGGGGCCAATTTGATTGTTCAAAACTATGAAAATTCTTTCTCTCTCATACGTTTTACTGTACTTAAAAATTTCTCGTTATACCCCCGGCTTGAAAAGCGGGTTGGTATATAGTAATCGTTAATTCCGTCCGTCCATCCGTCCGTCTGTCCGTCCGTCTGTTACGCTTTGGGGTACCCATCTCTTATCCACAACTTTTCTCATACCACTGAATAAAATTTGATGAAACTTTCATTATATATTGCCATAGTGACCTCCTATTTTACTTTTTGATCCGACACATATTTTGGGTTTCCCATAGCAAAACATGGACACTGCCATTTATACATATATGGGTGGCGGGGGGTATCATTTAGTGAGCCTATTGCTCACAGTACCTCTAGTTTTCATCTGTTTTACTTAACTCATTTATTATTGAAAGTTTTCAACGTCATACCAGTTAGGTAAATACATAATTATATGAATGCTTTGAGTATAGCATAAACATCGAGACTGGGCAAAGGGCCAGGGGAGGGGATGGGGGGGCTAAGTCCCCCACTTATTTTGGAAAGATATATACATCGTATAAGCATTGAAAATGCAGCGTACCCTTTTTAGGTTTATTGCTCCACTCCCCCGTTTGTTACCGACACCTATGTATTGGAAAGATAAAAATTTGGACTGAGGGATCTTATACTTGTCTTCTCTTTTCGACGGGAGTATAAAATCAATTCATTTTTGAGGTTAGGGTTAGGCTTAGTTTTTTGAAAGATAAAAAACAAATAAAATCTTTCAATGACTAAAATATTTTTTTTTTCAAAGTGCGTTAAGTGTCTCCATGGTAAAATATGTTGATGTAGACTCTCAACGCACTTTGAAAAAAATTTTCAAAGTGCGTTGAGTTGGTCCCAAATTTAACGCACTTTGAAAATTTTTTTTCAAAGTGCGTTGATTTTGTCCCAATTTTAACGCACTTTGAAAACATTTTTCAAAGTGCGTAATTTTTTTCAAAGTGCGTTGCCACATAGCATGCTCGGAACTATCTTGTCACAGGAAAATCACATGTTCAATATGAAAGCCCTATCTCTTCTTAAAAGTTATAAGGAGAAATAAACATTTTTGAAAATTAGGTCAAACTTCAAGGACAAGGTCACAGGATTAAAAATCATAGTGTATTAAGAAATGCTCTGTCTCAAGCAATATACAGATTTATACGAAAGCTCTCTGTCTTCTAAATCAGAAGTCATGAGCAAGGTTAAAGTTATCAAACACGGTCACGAGGTCAAAAAAAATTTTCATTGTCTATTTATTTTAAGTTTTGTCAGAGATAAAACACATGTTTAATATGAAACCCTATCTCTTCTCATTCAAAAGTTATGGCCAATTTTAAGTTTTTAATTTGTTAAAAGTAGGTCAAACTTCAGGGTCAAGATCACGGTCAAAATCATACTGTGTTTTAAATTTCTTGTCAAAAGTAATACACAGGATTAATATGAAAGCTCAAACGTCATGACCAAGATCTAATCTTTGGAAAGTAGGTCAAACTACAAGTTCACGGTCACTAGATTAAAAATTAAATTGTATTTAGAAAAAGTCTTGCCGCAGGTAATAAACACTTTTAATATGAATGCCCTATCTATTCTCATTTAAAAGTTATGACCAATTCAATGTATTGTTTATTTTTTTAACTAGGTCTGACTTCAAGGTCAAGGTCACATGTTCAAAAATCATAGTGTATCTAAAAAAGCCTTGTCACAGGTAATATAGATTTGTAATCTGAAAGCCCTATCTCTACTCATTCAAAAGATATGACCAAGGTTAAAGTTTCTGTGTTGGACGGACAGACAAATGAGATTCAATGTCCTCTCGCTTTCGCGAAAGTGGGGGACAAAAAAATTAAGTCTTGAAATTCAAGAATGACAGACAAACTGACAAACAGAGGACTGAAGAAATCTCTTTGCTTGAAAACACATAAATCTTAAAATAAAAACATCTCAATGCATTAATTATATTTTTTTTTCTTTCTCAGTTGGAGCAGAGAAGCCTACCTCTTTTAAGTTATACAAAAATGGCAATCTGAAAGAAAATGACAAAATGTTTTTGTCTTGCTCTGCGAACGTCGGAAACCCTGGTGGATTTGTTGCTATATGGAAGCTAAATAAGTTATCTAATCAGCTGGTAATTTTGAACAAGTCAAGTGAAGTACATGAAAAGACTGAAAATTGTACGGCGATTGCAAACTTCAACATAACTTACAGAGTATCCCGGGATGACCATGGTGGGATTTTCAGATGTACTTCACAAAATAGACAAACACAGGAACCTGTTCCCCATAAAGACACAACAGCAATTGATGTTCAATGTAAGTGACACATTCTTGAAATGGTAATGTATTACATCGCTATAAACGATATGAGATGTAATTTTAGCGATTTAAAATGCTCACTAAAGAATTTATTACAAATATAATGCAATCAAGCGATATTTAATAATAGCGATCTCAGCACTCTCGCTAATAATGCCAAAATTAAATCATAGCTAAACATTCTGTTTATACGATATCATAGCAGTTATTTTAATGTTTTAGATGGACCATCGAATATTACAATACATAGTTCCTCCCCTGATCTGGATCTATATGTCGGAGAAAATCTCAATCTCACATGCAGTTCTGATGGAAATCCAGCTCCTCATTTCAAATGGAAATTCAATTCCAGCGACATTCTTAACAATAAAAGATTTATCCTCACTAGGGACAATAAAACGTTGCATTTCCTGAACCTGAATTTAGATAACAATGGCATTTACTTTTGTGTTGTCTCAAATTTAATTGATGGTGAAATAAAGAAGGTGTCGTCACATCTTACACTAAAGGTCCGACAAAGAGAAGGTGTACGAACACACCTATTATCTTGTGCAGAAAATCCATGTGGAATAACCGAAAGTTGCACAGAAAGTAGTGGTAGATCAGTCTGTACTGTAAACATTTGGAGTCTTATCTCTTTCCTGTTTGTATGTCTTACTATGGTTTTTGCGGTTTCAACTGCTATTTTGACCATAAAACAGAAGAGAGATTTAGGAAGCGGCAACATTTTGAAATTCAGGTAAGGTAAAAGTTTTGTAAATGTACTTACTTCTTATTGGTTTCTGCCTTTTGATTCCACACATTAGTTCCAACAGTTCTTTTTTGGCCTTTAAAGGCCCTTTCACAATTGGCGCACGAGTACTTTACAACACTTTGCGATCGGAAAATTTTAGCTTCGCACGAGCTCTCGCAAAATAGACAAACACAGGATGCACGATGTCTCGTATTCATTGCATGTGTTTTAGTGGTCGCATCAAGTCTCTTCAAAATAGTCAACATGCACACTATTCAGGCGCGATCAAATGCGATCCAAATTATGGCAATTTAACGCACGAAAATTAGTACGAATGTCTTACAACATTTTATGTACTCGTAAGAGTGGTGCACGATTTTTAAAGATCATAAGATGAATCGCAGCTGTCTTTGTGTGTGTTTTACGACCATGAGACTGTTGCTCAACATGTCTCATGTAATCTTGCAACGTTTTACTCTCATTGCTTGATTTATCACCTTCAATTGCCATTCTTTTCAACAGGTATATATACCGTGTATAATTATAAGCATCTTAACTATGTCAACTTAAGAGAGTCAGAAACGGGTGGTATATATAAACCCGTCCCTCTGACTCGCACGAACATTCGTACTATGGAATGCATGAGCGCAGGAGCACCGCGCGTCCAATCGTATTGTCGCACGTTCAATCGTCCGATTACCTGATCAGTCGTGCAATCCTATCGCATTATCTTACAACATTCCCTTTCATTCTACAACAGTCGCATATCACGCAAGATATATCGCAAGATTTAATGCACAACAGTCGTTTTAGATCGTGCGAATTTCGTATGAACACTTTTTTTCATTACCGGTGTAACGACGAAAAGTGACCCCCGTAGAATATTGACCAGGGGGTCATTTTTCTACGTAGAAAAATGACTCCGGGTCAATATTCTACGACAAGTAGGGTCATTTTTCGACTGTAGAAAAACATTCCAGACCAGTAATGCTACGACTCAGCACACGTTGAAAAATAGAAATTTGACCCCTACTTTTTTTACTATAAAACCTTATATCCGAGTCTCCTGATATTTTTTCATACTTTCAAATGTAAGTAGGGGGATTTTTTATGAACTTTAATCCTTTCCAACTTATATTTGATTGCATCTTAATAGTAGCATCACAATCAATGATTCTGGTATGGATTTTGGCTTGCAGAATTCCAATGAAAAACTTCAAGAGTACTGTGCAACAATATTTTCAAGAAGTGGTGTAAATCAGATGTGAATGCTCAAAAATTCCAAAGAACTTTTGGACAATTTGAAATCACAAGATTTTTGTCCAAAATCAACAGCTTAAAAACTTACGACTTTTCAAGTTTATACGCAACCATTTCCCACGATAAATTAAATTGCAGGCTTTTATTATATCATTCACAGGTGCCTTTTAAAAAAAAATGGAACTCGTAAATTTACTTACCTGGTCATTGGTCATATTCAAATTTATTTTGTTAAAACATCTGATTGCACACTCAAGTACTCTGAAGTTGACATCAAGAAGATGTTTGAATTTCTGATTAACAATATCTATGTGGGTTTTTGGAGACCAGGTCTTCCAACAATCTATTGGAAATCCTATGGGTACCAATTGCGCTCCGTTATTAGCAGACCTATTTTTGTATTCTTATAAAGCAGAATTTGTGTAATATCTTATGCGTGAAAAGAAGAAAACACTTGCTGTGGCCTTCAAATCGACATTTAGATACTAGTATATCGACGACGTATCGTCAATTAGCAATCGTAATTTCCATTCCTACGTCGATACAATATATCCTGGTGAACTTGAGAAAAAAGATACCACAGAGTCTGACACATCTGTTCCATTCTTGGATATTTTACTTGACAAGGACGTTAATGGTAATCTAACAACTAAGCTATATGATAAACGTGATGACTTTAAAGTTTCTATTGTCAACCTCCCTTGCTTATGCACCAATAAACATTCATCACCTGCATACGGTAGCTTATATATCTCAGTTGATTCGATAAGCAAGAGCATGCTCTACGTATGAACAATTTCTTAAACGAGGTAAATGATTGACAAGCAAGTTGATGAAACAAGAATATCAGAAGTCTCGTTTAAAGTCATCATTTCGTAAGTTCTATGGTCGATACAATGACCTTGACAGCAAATACAACTTATCATTGAGTCAAATGCTGACTGACGTTTTTCATACAAATTGTAAGTCCATTATTTATAAACTGAATTGAAGACGGATTTTCCCATTATTTCCTGATGATTTTATGGACTATGATATTGAATACAGTTCGTGATCTCCATATACTTCTTCATTGAGGAGCATGATTAAATATTATTATATTTAGGGGTGGGTTTTTTTTTATCATTCAAAGGTTCTGTTCCGAAAATGGCATGATATGTTTCTGATAACCATAAACTTTGAAAATTTTTACAAATCCCAAAACAAAGCATAGAAGCAAGAAAAGCAACGCAATTTAATTATATGAATTTAATTTCCTTAGTTCTTGCCTTTAATATCACATTTATATATATTTGTATGCATTCTGCTTTAAAATACATACTTTTTAACTTTCTTATGTAAGGTACTATACTTTTACTTGTATATACGGGAAATACCATGCATGCACATCGAGAACGTTCTTATAATGATATTAAAAAAAGTCCTCCAACACTGTCAAAAACTTACATCTGAGTGAATATTCGTTCAACCTTTAGAGATATCTATAAATTAAAAAAAAAATTTCCTTTTCAACACAGACAACTGACAAATGGTTGCTGTAACGTCCCTCAAATACAAATGAACTCTTAGTCTATCATGCCATTACTTCGATATCTAAAGTCCTAGCAAATACCGTCCAAAAATTAATGCCAAAGTAAAAGTTTGAAATTTTTGTGTAAAAGTGTGTCAAACTCCAAGGTCAAGGTCAAAAGGTCAAAATTGGTTGTACACAAAAAAGGTCTTGTCACAAAAACACAACTGAAATATGAAAGCCATAGTCCCACCCGGTCTAAAGTTATGGGCAAGGTACAAGTTTCTGCAGACAAATTAACAAACAGACAGACGGACGGACAGGCTAAAAACTATATACCCCCCTTCCCTAAACTTTGTTCACCGGGGCATAAGTATAATAAGTAAAGTAACTACTTTTTCATAATCCAACATTTGTTTTGCTTTTTTTCTACATATGTTCTACTGGTAAAAAAAAACTCCTAAAATCATCACATTTACAAATGTAAGTCATGTACATGTAGAACGGGGAAAACGATACTACATGTGCCAATTTTGGAAAGACGAGCACTTCTTTTTGAATTTTTCAGGTTTTAAGCTAACCACTTTTTGTTTCCTATGTATCATAGTTCAGAGGCAATTTAAATTCTTACTTATTTTTACAAATTAAATCGATTATCCCTTTTATTATGAGAAGTTTAAAACTCCATTCATAGAAAACCAAATATTTTTATAAGATCTATTTTTCTGAGCTAACGCCCTTTTTCGCGCCAATTTGAAAAGTAGGAATCAATAACGTTAAACTTTTGAAAAATTGAGTTTTGCAAATTATTTATTCAGGGTAAAATCAAAGAGATTCATAATTAATCAACTCTGGAAACTTTTAAAAACAATTTCTGACACCAGCTAGAAAATGACCCTTTAAAGATTAAAATGACAACTGTGGAAACTTACTGTATCAAATGTAATAAATGATTGTATGAATGCGCACATATCTTTGCCTAAATAGCCTTAGAACATTTTAATACATGCAGATATTGTTTTCCTTCAATGGGGATAAAGCTGTTTGTATCATTCATGTAAGGTATTGTATAGCTTTTATTTCGTTATGTAAGCTTAAAAGCTTCCAGAAATTAACACTTCAAAGCATAAGGCTGCTTGATATTACACGTATACATTCGCTAACAAGAATATTCCTCTCAAAACGAAAGTTTTTGCGTCAAAAAATGACAAGGGGTCATTATTCTACGGTGTCATTTTTCTACAATGCACACGGAGAAAAACGACCCCAAGGCCATAATTTCTACAGAAAAGTGGGTCATTTTTCTACATAGACTATTGACCAGGAGGTCAAATTTCTACGTAGAAAAATGACCCCGGGTCAATATTCTACGGGGGTCACTTTTCGTCGTTACACCGGCCGCCAGGAGGCGGTCGGTTATTGCTAGCGCTCTCGAGCGCTAGCAACTACGTTAGTCCGAATTCCTTGAATACGCATGCTCGGCCGCCATGGCCGTGCATTCTGGGAAAACTAAGTCTCACTCAACTAGACGCTCGGCTGTCTCCGTAAACTACGACAAGCATCCTCTGGGTGGTCGGAGATTTACGGAGACAGCCGAGGGTCTGGTTGAACGAGACTAGGGAAAATTGTGAAAACTACGATAGACCGTACGATAACAATTTCGCTGTATCATGTTGTTGCATGAAATAACTGTTTATTTATTGTGTAGCTTACACTTTAAAGATAACTTCATATTTATAATATTTCAAATTCTGGATTTTTTTTGCTGACGGAAAAGCCCGAGTCATCATCTGATTGTTTTAAACAATGACAAAGGAGTTTTTTTTAACATCTAAGCACAACCAAAGATAGATTTTAATTTCTGATTGATCAATTCAGCCAATCTTACAAATTCCAGAAAGAGAAGCAAGAATTTACACTAAAAATAACGAATAAATCCACTATTTGTGTTTAAAAAATTCGGATGTGTATGGCTTTTAACCTAACATATCTTGAAAAAGATGACCCAAAGGACCAAGCTACTTCACATGCCTTCCAAACTCTCTGGACTCTTTACACAACATACACTTTGAGTTATTTTCTATATTCCTTTCAACTCCCATGTATTTTTTTTTCTAAATTGCCAAGAAATTCTCTTCTTTAAATCAGCTCATACATGCAATGTCTCAATCGGCATCTTCTTCATATTATATAGATCCCCCCCCTCTCCAATAAAGGTCACCCACCCCCTTGTTTC